CATTCTGTTTTCTCCAATTCTATTTCACTGCTTTTTACTGGTTCACAGCAGCTACAGCTACAGCAACAATGCAGTAACTCAGCATTGTCTGGAATATAAAAAGCTATCCATGTATGAAATTGCTTTATATCAAGTCTGATCATTGCTCTGTCTGAGTTAATATTGTCTGCTGAGAATATCAGTAGCTTTCCAAGGTCTTAGGCAGGTCAGTGTTTTGACAGGGTTGCTGCTTGTATCAGGGATGGTAAACACAGTGTCATATTTATCAGTCAATTGTGGTTATTATCCCAAGTCTTGAGAGAAGGCAGAAAACAGTTCTACACAAAACAGCTAAAAACCAGTCATTGACCCTCTTTCTGGGATATTTCTGAATGGATATTATGGCCAGCAGAACAGACAGTTCATTCAGCTACTGAGGAACATCAAGTGACTAGAAGATAATAGATGTAATCCACTTCAGGCATTGTATAAAATATACTTGTGTCTGGGTCTGTCAAGGGATGGGGGAAAAGAAGCAGCTAGGGTTATTTTCTTATTTAAAATACAGTTCTAAAGTCCAGAGCCTATTAAAAACAGTTAGAAAAACCTTTTGTGCTAGTTGAAACTGTCTTGTGCTGGTTGAACTGCCCTTATGCCCACACAATTCCTTCTGGCTGCTTGATCTTGAAGAAGAACCAAAAAATGGGTGGAACGAAAAGGGGTCGAGGGAGGGAATAATCTAGTAATACCAGATCCAGTCCTTTCTCAGCTGAGGGACAAATGTCCTGTGTTTGAAACAACCTTTGGCTAGGATTGGAGTAGTCCTAAGAAGTTTCCAACTGAGAGTGGCTTTAATTAAGCACAACTTCAGCTACCTTAGTGTTGGCTCTTCTGGCTCTTGGCCATCTTGGCGAGTTAGAATTGTGTCTTAATTGGCTAACACTTAAAGTTTTCTTAAATTTAAAATTATACAGTTTGACTTGTGCCTAAAAAGATAAATTATACACAAGCTATATTATTTGTTTGAAGTGTTTGCCTCTCAGCCCAACAGGGTCCCAAGGCAATAAACAATAGATTAAAAATAAATAAGAATATTTCAAAAAATGATTAGAACAATATAAACAACTCTAAAGAACTCTCAATGTTTGTTTACAATACTGTCTTAAAAAAGTATTTTTAAATTATTAGGATAAGAAAACTCTTTTACATGCATACCATTCAACTAGAATGTAGAAATATTGTGTGAAATAATTCTAAATGAGTGGGGGATTGATTTGTAGATGCTGAAGCATGCCTTGAAATTGCACTGTGATACTTTTTAACTTTGAAAATTTTACTGTTAATTTAATTGTTAAGTTGACTTTGGTTTGTTGTGAACCTGTGACCGAGAGGTCTCCAAGTGACTTAGTTAGCAGTAAACTTACTCGGGACTGTGACTTCCTTGACCATGTGTCTCCATTTGTATTGTAGCCTTCCCCTTTTCCTACTGCCTTCTCCCTTACCAAGAAGCATTATACTTTCTAGTGAGTCATGTCTTCTCACAATGCTTCCAAAGTACAGTTTAGTCATTTGTCTTCCAGGGGAGAGGTCTGTCTTGGTTTGCTTTGGAGACCTATTCTTGATCTGCATGTTCTTTCGCAGTGAGGACATGGATTTCCAGGTGGAAGACAGGGGTTGGCTTGATGTGCCTTCTTCTTGACACATTTTTTTCTTTCACCCTTCATTTCTACCTCTTTGAATTCCACAGCACTGTGTACACTACTGGAATGCATTATGGTTATGCAAAGAAGCTGACACTTGTACAGATCACCAGTCATATCTTCAGGCATTATTTTTGGTAGTTGCTTTTTAAAATAAAAATTTCTGTATTGATTTCTGTTTTTTGGCTTGTCTTGATAGATCTTGTTTTGAACTGCTGATGGAAAAAATGGTATTAGTATTCACATTTTCTGATTGGTTTGCAAAGAGGTGTGACTATTGTTGACTGTTAATTTTCTATAGCAGAACTGAAATAGCTTAGTTGGGAGAACAAATCATGCAGAGATTAGTGATAAGAGGAACTGCTTTACTAGAAAGAAGGTAGGACAAAGGCCAAGGCTATTCAGCAGCAGGGAGGACAAAGAGTGGAAAATTAGAGGAAGGCACGAAGGATGCCCTTTTGGGTAGTTGGCAATTATGTGAGTGCTTTTTATAGTACATGAACCTGATTTGGATTGGAATTTGGAGGTCCAGAACCACTCTGGAGATCAAGTCCTTCACGCCTGCTTTATAAATAGAGACAGGAAGGAGGAAGAAGCATTGTAGAAGTGACATGGACCCCTCCCCTGGCCACAAATTAGCATGAATATGAGATGTAGAGATCCCAGTCTAGAATGGGATTGCAAGCAGAAGATAGTGTTTCTCAATGCCAGTGTTTTGATCTGGATCAGGTACTCAGTCAAGCTTCTCATTTTTAAAGCATTCACACTGTTGGTGAGCATGTGACTTTTATTGTTTACTTTGACTCAGAGAGGAGAGTATTAGGTCTAAGGTACATTATGCGTAAGCAGTGAGCTGAGAAGCAGAAAGAGGTAAGGATGCATGATGGTGAAGTTAAAGAGTGGTCATTGAAGTAATGGTAAAGCCATTGTAGATAAGAGCACTCTGAAAACGTGAATCAAGAAGATAACTTCCAGCAGCTTGTCTGCTTTGAACGTATTTGCCAGAATTTCAGCATCTTTATTTTTATATAGGGACTTCAAAAGTTTATAGTTTATTTCTACATTGTTTTAAAGCATTTTCAATATAAAAACCGTATAAATGATTCCTGCATATATGATCTTTGTAGTCAACAACGGAGATGAGTGGCTGGTGCGCTGATTTACAGTTTATTGTATCCTATCATACTGAGGCATGTAATACTGTGCATGTAATTCAAAGTGCTGGCTTGAGCTTATAAAGCCCTAAACCAGTGGTTCTCAACCTGTGGGTTTCTAGACGTTTTGGCCTTCAACTCCCAGAAATCCCAACAGCTGGTAAACTGGCTGGGATTGTAGGCCAAAACACCTGGGGAGCCACAGGTTGAGAACCACTGTATTATTGGGTTTTTGTTTGCCTTTGCCTTCCTCTGAGACTGAGAGAATATGATTTAATGAAGGTCACCCCTTAGGCTCCCATGACAAAGTGGGTATTTGAATCCAGGTCTCGAGAGTCAAATCCTAGCACTCAAACCACTGCACCGTGATGGGTCTCTGGCCTATATACATTGTTATATGTTCATTAGAGGGAAAGTGAAATACACAAAAACATTAGCTACGATTCTAATAGGAGGACTTCCTGGTATTTCAGTCAGTTAGGGATTCTCTGAATTAAGCCTTCCTTGGATTCTCTGCCTTCCATGAAAGACAGAGGAACACTAGGTTCAAAATTCTTTGCATGTTTACCTATAAAGATCGCTATGTTTTTGAATGCCGAAGATTTCTACTCCTTGGTCAGAGCGGATAGTGAGCGTGCTCTATTCCAGCTTTGTTACTGTATGCCACCAAGTTATTTCCAACTTACGGAGAATCAATTATGGGGTTTTCTGAGGCTGAGAAAGTGTCACACAACCAAGGTCATCCAAAGGGTTTTCGTGACTAAATAGGGATTTGAATCCTCGTCACCAAAGTCGTAGTCCAGTGCTCAAATCACTATACCACATAATTCTAGGTAGCCTTAGAACAGGCATGGGCAAACTTTGGCCCTCTGTGTGTTTTGGACTTCAACTCCCACAATACCTAACATGCTTGATTTAGAGGGTTGTGGCTTTTGAAAGGTGGCACTTCGTAACAAATGCTTATGGTCCTGCATTTTGGCAGTTTCTGCAATTACTTTGTAAAACTGTCTTTCTCCCCTAATATCCCCCTTTCTTCCCCAATAACCATTTCCCCCACTGAAAAAAGAAAAGTTTTTGGTGTGGGCCACGCCCACGTGTCAGATATCGCCTCAGATGTACAGATTTAACTAATTTTCTTATGACATGCAAAACTTCTGAAAATTTTGCACATTCCTAATAACTATATGTAACAAGGCAGACTTATTTGATTGTTAACTGTGTGGCCCGAGAATAGATAAATGAAGTATTATAAACTGTGGAGTATAGCATATAGAGTATGAAATATAATGCCAAAAGCTACATGTTTGTATGTAACATAGGAAATCTGGTAGCAGTCTTAGGACTTTGGATTTTTTGAGTCTTTCTGTCTGTAAGGGAAAAAAGGAAGGCTGCGTTTTGAATTGATAGATTCAAACCATGGAAGCCATGTTCCTCAGTCTGCAAGACGTAAGTGGGGCTGTTGATCCTTGGAGGTCTCTCATTCATAGGATCATCATAGGTTGACTTGACAGCAATAACAGGAACAACAAATAATCAAGAGGTTTTTTTGTGTGTTATGGGTTGGTTATTCAGTGTGAGCGTAAATATTGAAAATGGTTTCTGAGCCAGTTTCAACAAGAATCTATTATATATTCAATGAAATTTCCATGTTACCATAAAAAGACATAAAATAATCCAGTTGCATGCTTGAGGCTGACTGGGAAGAAAGCTTTCCTTGTGCACTTGGTCCATGAATAATGCATGTTGTCCTATATAATTTATTATAAAGAGGCATAGCACCTTTGGGACTAACTAGGAAAAAATAAATCTTTTTTGATTACATGTCTTAAACAGTTTATTCTGCTTTTGAAGTATGATAAAATCATCATATATCAAGAAATGACATTCCAACTATAAATATTTTATCATAGCCATATGAAATTGATTTTTATATCTCACAAAATTAGAGCTCTGTTCTGATGCTAAAATAAAATGAGACATGACAATGTATAACTTATAATACTTTTTCTTCCAGACTGAATCAGGATTTATTTATAGAATGTAACCCTTCACATTGACCTATTTCTGAATTAAGGTATTCCTTTGTATTCACAACGCCAGTAGAGTTTCTCTGCTTATTGATTCAATGCTATCAAATCGGTTGATACCTTTTTATCTTACGTTATAGCCAACCACACCACCAAGCCAAGGAAGAGCAGATTCACCGGTTTATGCAAATTTGCAAGAACTGAAAATATCGCAGTCTGCACTCCCACCTATACCTACAACTCTTGCAATCCAAATTAATGGAGAATGGGAGACTCATAAAGACTCAACAGGACGTTGTTACTATTACAACAAAGGAACACAGGAAAGAACCTGGAAACCACCACGCTTGACTCGGGATCCAAGCATAAGTAAAGGAGACACTTTGAACCAAGCAGATCATGAGGTACATTTGAACCAATACTTACTAAGCTTAGAGTACAGGTGAATTATATGCATTAACATTTTTGGAAACTAATTGATTTTTTCCCAATTAGATTTTTTTGTAAGTAGTTGAACTAGTTCTTTGAGCTTTTGTTTTAGTTCTATCCAAAATGAAGGAACAGTGACACTTTCTTGTTTAGGTCAGTTGTACTGTTACTTACATTGATGATACAAATTCGAGTTATGTAGTAGGAGAGGTGCCAGACCAACAGACTGATTACATTGAATAGGTAGTACATACATCTGGGTTTACTTCTCTATTGAAAGTCGTGTAGTTTTGAATGCACTTTACTTTTCTAGTCTAAGAACATTGAACCATGTAAAAACAAGAGTAGCCAAAAGCATTATAATTTTCAGAATTCCAGACTTAGGGAACTTTGAGTACAGGTAGCTGTGTAACTATGGTGTCGTGGTTACTGAAGTTAGTTCTACATGGTATTAGTTCCTGGATCCATCGTCTTTAGGATTGCACCTTATTTTCACTCTGGCCTTGAAAATGGATGCTTTTTGCTTGTTAATTCTGATGAATAATACTCTGGCTCATGAAATGCTTTTTGAGGTGTCATAGTAAATTGAAGTTCATGGCTTTGTGTCACCTTCTTTATATCATTTTCTGTGGGCTCCAGAGCTACTACGAAGCTGCCAAAAGTCAAGAGAGGGCTACACTTCTTCTTAAATCCAGTAATAGCTCTGTTGGATCTCTATGGTAGCAGATTCCTTCTTATACTGTAGAGATCAGCCATGTGGCAGGGTAGAGTGTCTTCTTCCTTTCCAGAATAGAAAAATATGTTTTTTTTAGTTTTGTGTCAGCATTCTGCTCGACTGTCTTTGATCATTTAACAGAATTTGTGTGGTCAAGGCAGTTTGTATATACCCTGCAAGCTATGTGCTGTCCACCCATGGTTTAAATATTTAATGAAGTGACTAATCCATGGCCAGGTACTAAGTGCAGCTCACTTTAGGAATCCTAATTCTTCCTTGAAGCCTAATTTTGGTGTAGAATTTAAGGCACCGCTTTTCCTTTTTTTTTTGGGGAAGCAGGATTTCCATATGTCCTGCTTGATCTGCTACAACATTAGGAAGACAAGTAGTTGCTGCAGTTGCTGAATTGTGTGGTATGTTGTCCAGACTGTGTAAGTAGTGTGTTCTGCAGCCAAACCTGAAATGCTGGTATCTCCACAAACACTATGCAGTAATTAACTTTAGAAAGTTTGAGAATTTGGTGGGTTTTTGTTGCTGTATATTCCTTTTCTTCGGATTGATCTGAGCTGTCAGTTATTATTGCATTATTCAAACACAAACCATTCAGAATTTCAAACCTTGAGAGCATTATTGTGTGTGATATTCTTCGAACACCTGTAAGCATAAGTGCTAAATATTCAGTATTCTGATTATTTTAGCTCTTTACCTGTCCTTTATCTACAGTTCATTTACCTTTGTTAGACATACATTTTTCCTTGTGCATTATAGCCAAATATCCTTTATACATTTGATTCTCTGAGCTGTCTCATGTTTTGATCTTCTATATTTTATTGACATTCTTTTTAAAAGTATTCTGCTTTCAGAATTCTGTAGAGCTTATGTGTCTTTTGTATTTGATGGCATTGCATACTTGTTACACTTACATTGTTTTTTCAGCTTTGTTTGAGTTATGAGCTTCCTTTTTTCTGTTCTTTGTGATGTCTTTCAGTCTATAGCACTTAGAATCTGTCCTTTTTTGGTAACTTTAGTAATACTATTTCTTCCCTATTTTAAGGCCATTTCAGGATATCATTCAAGTTTTCCTTCAACAGCAGTTTTGAATTCTTGGAGTACTAGTGGTAATTTCATGTATTAATCCCGCTTTACAGTCACGTTTGGCAAGAGCAATTTTCTCCTTAGTTTTTCTTACTAAACAGGAGGGGGGGATTAATAAAAATCGAAGTTTTACAAGACCTCCAAAGTAAAGTGATTAAAATATCTATGATGGTGAAAGCTGCAGAGATGATTTGACTCGATGTGCAAGAATTAGTCTGTCCTCTCTTGTCCATGATTTGTCCTTTAAACCTGTTGTTTATATCCTCATTTGTCTTTGGAGCTATTTGTGATATAGTTTAGTAGACAGAGTCTACAAGTTTTGCTGTTGATGTCATCAGGATGTATGTCTTTTCCTAACTGAAAGCTAAGCAACAATTGTTCTTTTCTCATATTTGACACCCACTGAACCTATAAGCATCCTATCTGATTCCTCTGCTTCAAAAGCTTTCTGTTCAGCAACCATTTCCTTTCCTTAAAGTGTCGCTATTTCCACTTCTTTCTTGTAAAATTTAAATTCTCCATTCATGGTTTTGACTTTTAGATAAGTGCTAGCCCCTTCTAGAATTTATCTAATACTACATCTCAATACTTCTGTGTCTTTGACCATTTGTAGACTCTTCTATCACAAGAAAACTCCCACAGTTCTTATAACAGCCACTCAGATAGTCAGTATGGTTCTCCTCCCAAAGGGTGGTCAGAAGAATTGGATGAACATGGCCAAACGCTATATACCAGTGACCATACTAATGAAAAGGTACACACTTTTCTTCATCACCTACCTTTTAATCTCATAGAAACATAGTGAGCAAGAAATCAAACAGGTGTAGTTTTTATGTCATTAGTTATAGAAAATGTGTTTATTCCTGACATCTTCTTTCCATTCCTTTCCATTTGTTTTGTTTGTTTGTTTCGAGCTATATTCTATAAGAATAACTATTCTGTTTCTCCTGAAAAATAAAATCCAACCAAGTCTTGTCAATGTTTATTGTTTTCTGTGTCAGGTAGCCAACCATATTTTTTAATACATACTGCCAACTCCATTTCCGATCTGGCAAGCTGCTGTTATTTTTCTCATCAATGAACTGTAAATACAGCTGTCAACAGTAATTTCAACTCTGACTCTGTTTCAGGAGCAGTGTTGATGAGAGTAACTGTAAATAAGGTGTTTGAAGGAGGTACCTAATTTTCTCTGGCAGATATAAAGAGATTACTGTCCTACTAATTAACTTATAGATGTAACATTTAATATTGGAATCTGAAAAACAGTTTTTGAAAACTTGTCCAATTGCTTTGGACTGGTATTACATCATTCATGAAAACTACAATGTCCTGTTTGCCTGGGTCTTTTGACAATAAGACAAGGCAGACCTGTGTTCTTCTTATGGTGTTCTTGAACAATTTGTGCGGCAGCTTTTCTCCCTATTTCCTCCCAGGAACAGGAAAAATGTGACTGAACAATCTGCAATTCAGAATAAAGTTCTTTTAACTGAGAGTTCAATGCTTGATAGGATTTTCTTATAGTCTGAGGGTATGATCTATAGGGAATATTCCCATGGTCTGACTAAATTCTATACTACATGTTTCTTTGGAAGCCTTATGATTGGCATCAACCTAATTTCTTACCTTGCTCCCCAGCAGTGGGTTTAGAAATACCACAGCTGAGCAGATTTGACACCTTTCTTTCCTTCAATAAAAGCAGGGGAACAGGAAAGACACAGAAATACCTATAGGGTATTTTGAGAAAGGCAGGGAGTTTCAGAAAAACATCTGTTTCTGTTTCATTGACTATTCTAAAGCCTTTGACTGTGTGGATCATAATAAATTGTGGCAAGTTCTTGGTGGTATGGGCATACCAAATCACCTTGTCTCTCTCTTGAGGAATCTGTATAAGGATCAAGTAGCAGCAGTAAGAACTGACCATGGAACAACAGACTGGTTCAAGATTGGGAAAGGCGTACGGCAGGATTGTATACTCTCATCCAACCTATTCAACTTGTATGCAGAACACATCATGCGATGTGCGGGGTTTGACGAATGCCAGGCTGGGGTAAAAATTGCTGGAAGAAACATTAACAACCTTAGATATGCAGATGATACCACTTTGATGGCCAAAAGCAAGGAGGAGCTGAGGAGGTGAAAGAAGGAAGTGCAAAAGCTGGGTTGCAGCTAAACATAAAAAAACCCAAGATTATGGCAACAAGAATGATTGACATCTGGGAAACAGAGGGAGAAAACGTGGACAGACTTTGTATTTCTAGGTGCAAAGATTACTGCAGACGCAGACTGCAGCCAGGAAATCAGGAGACGCTTACTTCTTGGGAGGAGAGCAATGTCCAATCTTGATAAAATAGTGTAGAGACATCACACTGGCAATGAAGATCCGCATAGTTAAAGCAATGGTATTCCCCATAGTCACCTACCGATGTGAGAGCTGGACCTTAGGGAAGGCTGAGCGAAGGAAGATAGACGCTTTTGAACTGTGGTGTTGGAGGAAAGTTCTGAGAGTGCCTTGGACCGCCAGAACATCCAACCAGTCCATACTTCAGGAAATAAAGCCCGACTGCTCATTGGAGGGAAGGATAGAAGAGACCAAGATGAAGTACTTTGGCCACATCATGAGAAGAAAGGAAAGCTTAGAGAAGGCAATGATGCTGGGGGAAATGGAAGGAAAAAGGAAGAGGGGCCAACCAAGGGCAAGATGGATGGATGGGATCCTTGAAGTGACTGGATTGACCTTGAAGGAGCTGGGGGTGGTGACGGCCGACAGGGAGCTCTGGCGTGGGCTGGTCCATGAGGTCACGAAGAGTCGGAAACGACTGAATGAACAACACATTTTGATAGTGGAATTATCTATGAGAGAGCCCACCCTCTCTTTTCTAAATGTTGAAATTACTTTAGTAATGTTAAAAACTGGAGCAATGGGGGAATGGCTATAGAAGTCTACAAATTACTAGGGAGTTGTGTCTCCTGTTGGTGCATCAGGAAAGCAGACCCTGTAGTCCAGAATGTGGAAGCATACATAGCTAGTCAGTGGTTCTCAACCTTTGGGTCCCCAGTTGTTTTGGCCTACAACTCCCAGAAATCCCAACCAGTTTATTAGCTGTTAGGATTTCTGGGAGATGAAGGCCAAAACATCTGGGGACCCACAGGTTGAGAATCACTGGTTTAAATTCTCCTTCCTGGGTATTGTAGCACATTCTGTTCATGAGAGTAGGAAACTTTGTGGCTTTCCAGACAAATAGTTCCATGAGATGTTCAAAGCAGGCTATCTTTTCTAATATTTCTTTGGAATATGTCCCTCATAATGTGATATTCAGTAGTTAAATGCTACAAAATGTGCTGGAATGATAAACTTCTCTGAATTCCTTATTCAGCCTCTCTGTGCCATTCCCTAGTAAACTGAAATTGCCCACTGACTGACAGAAATGTAATTAATCATAACATATACTTGTGGTTCATGCTTAAATTAGGCTTACTCTTAATTGCCTGTTTCTTTACTAATTCTTTCCTTTTTAGCACAGTTCTTGGTGAGAACTAAGTGAATGTGTTCTCATTGGCTATAACTGTTCTTGGAAAGAGTAATGGGAATGCTCCTCCATTTCCTGTTCATTTGTGCCCTTAGCTAAATCAGCACAAGTAGTAGGAACTTCATCTGTAAACTATTTTCCCATCACAAGTAAGAAGGGAACTGACATCTAGTTTTTCTTGTTATGTGCTCCAGTGTTGTATTGTAATTATTTATAATACCACAAAAATGACGCATCTTAGTTCATAGCTGCTTTTTATAAATTCTTTATTTGATCCAACGTGTTTAATGCATGTATGGTATGGTAGTAAAATTATACATTCATAATGATTTTTAGTTTTTGCAGTGTGACTAATCATGAAAAGAATACTAGACAGTAGAATATAATAGCTCCGGTTGCATGATGAAAAAAATCTAAATTTTATGTTATGCTTTGTGGAGTAGCAGTCAAGCTTCTTGCTTTGTATGGTTTCAGAGGAGTAGAAGAATTATGGGCATTTCCACTTCTTCTCACACGTGAAAAATGTACTAACGAGGGCCTTAATTGTTCTTGCAATATGTAATGATGTTTTATTAATTTTTGTTTCCACAGTGGATAAAACATGTAGATGAACAAGGTCGGTCATACTACTACAATGCAGACGGATCTCGATCAGAATGGGCCCTGCCAAAAGTGAGTAAGAAAAACAAAGGACAACAGTGTTTATAGCTGCACAGTAGAACTAATGCATGATTCATTTCTAGAATACACTTAATTATTATATCAATTTTTACCTAACAGCAAAAATAGACTCCATTTGAGAGAAAGGTGGGATATGATTTTGTTTAGAAAAAAAGAGGAATTTCAGCTTATAGCTATACAATTCTTACTTAATGTAAAGCCTTTTACAGACAGTCATCTTCCTGCAAATTCTGGAGTAAATGCATTTCACACACCCACATTCAAATGTAGGCTGAAGAGGAATGAATCTGAGAAAAAGTTGTTTATGAAAACTGCATTGTACAGTAGATCCTTGGTATACATTGGGATTTGGTTCTAGGACTTTCCAATATTAAGATCTCCCGATGCTCAAGTCTCCATTGTATAGAATGGTGTAATAAAATGGCAAACAACTCAAACAAGGGCCAGAGAGAGCCTGAGGATCTGTGAAATTGTGGGAAGTAACAGCAGGATATGCCAGGACATTTGCATCGTGTTCAGCATGTGGCAAAATCAAGTTTTGCTTTTTGACACTGGGAAGATTATTTTTGAGCCATGGTTGGGTGATTCTGTGGATTGATAAACTGTGGATCTGGAGGGCTGACTGTCATTTACACAGACCACTGCAGGTTCAGGTTTTCAGTGGCTTGCAGAACACCTGCAGGTACTGTGTGTTGGTGGGCTGAAGCTGAGGCCCCTTCCACACAGCCCTATATTCCAGAATATCAAGGCTGAAAATCCCACAATATCTGCTTTGAACTGTGTTATCTGAGCCCACACTCAGATAAATGTGGGATTTTCAGCTTGATATTCTGGGATATAGGGCTGTGTGGAAGGGCCCTGAGATGGCAGCTTGAAACAACGACTAGTAGCTTTATCCATAACATTTTATTATGCTGTAGATTGGCATTTGGGCTTACTTTAGAGTAATATGTAGCAACTTTGCAGCATATAATACAGTTATATACCCTCTTTCCAAGCTGGTGTGAAGAAAAGTATTTATACCCCCTTTCCAAGCTGGTGCTAAAAAAAGTAGGTTATGGAAATTTTTCAAGAGTAGCCCACTGTTAATGTCAATCTGACTAAAGATCAGGCTGAGAGAGAAAACTCCTACTTTTTAGGCTTCAGCAAAGATATGCCAAGCAGACACTGCACCTTTTTGTTGGGGTTTCAGTTCTTTCTAATCTCTTCTACTTCTGCGAGAATGTGGGGGAAGAAGAGATGGAAATGCTGAAAGTTCAAAGTATGCTGCAGCTCATGATTTTAACAACAACCCCATTGTTTGTTAAATCTGAACTTTGGCTATTGTAATATTGTAAAAAAGGGGAAATGACAAATAATCCTCTGGTACTTTTGAAATTAGGTGTTGAATTCTTGAACAGTGACTTCTTAGCAGAACCAGAATCTTAAATAGGTGAAGAAAATGGTCATTTGGTGTGCTATAGGAGGAACAGTTGAAATCATAATCATTTTTATGAATACGCTGTGTTTTTATGGGTATGTTGGAATATTCATTTTTGTTTGTTTACTATGTTTACATAACCTTAGAGATGGCTGTGTCATACTTTGATTTACAAGATCTGGAATTAGGGTGGGTTTTTTTTATGCATGACCATTTCTTAAAACTTTCTGATGTATTTATATATGTTTATTATGCTATTATGATGGAAGAGCAAAATTTTCAGAAGAAAATTGTTAGAATCATCAAAAAAGCTCTTTAGGATGCATCAGGTTGATTAAAAGATGTTCCAGTTTTAGATAGGCATGAGAGATGTATCTGAAACATGAATGAATGCAGGAAATACTTGCAAATAACAGGACAGGTGGGTGGAGATACTTTAAAGTCAGGGTCCATATTCCAATATGGCAAGTCAATAGTCTTCTAACCTCTAACTGCAAAACAAGATTCTTAGGAGATGAGCTTTTCGTTCTTGACTTAGACATGCATTAGGAACAGAATATGATCTGGTTCTGAGATTACCACACATTTGCACCTTTATAGCACGAAAGAGCTAATAAGTAGCATGAAAAGATCAATCCTTTAACCTTATAATTCACTGTGAAATGAAAAGTTTAGATCAGTGGTTCCCAACCTTTTTTTGACCAGGGACCACTTTGAACAGGGACCACCTTGACCAAGCACTACTCTCCAACATTAGTACTAAAAGGGGTGGGGCTGGTCAGCTCTGAAGAAAGGAATGGAAATAAAATAAATAAAGAGGAAGGAAGTAAAGAGGAAGGAAGTTCGTGGACTGAATTTTAATTCTCCTGGCCCACTGCTGGGCATGCGACCCACAGGTTGGGAACCACTGGTTTAGAGTAACAGGAAAGAATTCAAAGAAAAAAGTATATTACACCCAGTACTTGGATGCCTTAAAACTCATCCACAGATTCTAGTTAAGATCTCTTCATTAACTGCTTTAACCAAACCTTGGCATAGATAACATCATGCGTGAAATTGTGTGGATTATATTAATTCACATAATGTTATTGTCTAGCCTGTTTTGAATGCATAGAGACATAGCAATTCCTATCTTGTAGGCAAATCATTTGATAACTGAAAGGCTGAGAGTAATAATATTGTTCTGCCAATTTATAAGTGAGAAAGCATAATTAGCATTATATAGAACATTACTAGTTCTATATAATGCTAACCCTGTAAAATAAGAAACACATATTTTTCCATACTATAAAATGTAGACGGAGCTTGAGAGATGGTGGCATTCTGAGGCCACCTAGTGAATGTATCTGAGATTCAGATCAAATCCATTAAGTTCACGTATAACCCATGTTGCTTTATCTCAGAGATTTTTTAATCTGAGCACATTCAAAATGGAACAGTCCTTTCAGACTCCTGTCCCTTCATGTTGCCTGCCAATTTATGGTATTCCCCATGGATTTCATAGGGGTTTTTAAGGTAAAGAATACTGAGATGTTGTTTTGCCATTTCCTTTATCTGATATATAGCCCGTTTGTTGGTAGTCTCCCATCCCAAATACTAAACCAACCCCACCTTTGCTTTGCTTCCAAGATCAGATGGGATCTTTAAGGAGTTTAGAATGTATAATGTGACGAAGAGAATTAGACGGCATTAATAACATCCTGTTCATTTACAAGTAGACATAACTTAGACATCATGTTCTCATCGTTGTTTAGAATATATGTAAAGAATGCCGGTGGGAAATAGTTGAGTCACTTAAATTAACATTTTCTTAATTGGTTTAAATTATTTAAATTGATTGAATCACAGCTGATTTAAATTATTTAAATTGATTAAGTTTGAGCTTCTAATATGGTGAAGCTAGGAACTGGGATGGGGCATTTTGTATTGCTAGTTTGTCTATGTCCCTCCTGCGCCTGTCTGAAATTCGTACCCCAAAATGACCACTCAAGAGTTTTATGAGAGTCTATTAATTAAAAACACCCCCCCCTTTAAATGCCCATAATTGCTGTTATAGGAGATGCTATTAACCTTGGAGAGAGAGGACAGATTCAATTTTATGGAGGGTGCAGGGCCAAAAATGTGTTGTGTGGATACTTGAAGTGTTCCATTCTTGTAGTAGTATATGTCAGTGATATAGTACAAACATGTAGCAAGTACTTTGTTTTATAATATCAGTGTCAGTCAGCGTCAGTCAGTTCTGGTAAAGATGCAGTGTGTTTAACCACTTCTATTGTATTGTCGAAGGCTTTCATGGCCGCAATCGCTAGGTTGTTGTAGGTTTTTTTGGGCTATAAGGGCATGTTCTAGAGGCATTCTCTCCTGACTACACAGATAAGCCATTGAAATCCATAAGCATGTGGACAATTTCAACAGAAAGGAGGAAACCATGAAAATGAACAAAATCTGGCTACCAGTATTAAAAAACTCTAAAATTACAACAGCAAAACAACAGAGAGGAAACAATCAGGGGCAGCTAATCACCTCTCAACAAAAGATTCCCCCAGGCACTAACAAGCCACACCAAAAAAACTGCCAGGCCATCAAATGCTAATCAGTTGAAACATTCACACCTTTCTCCAACAGACAAGAGTTCTTTGTCCCACCCTGGTCATTCCACAGATATATAAACCCAATTTTCCTAGTTCCAACAGACCTCACAACCTCTGAGGATGCTTGCCATAGATGCAGGCAAAACGTCAGGAGAGAATGCCTCTAGAACAGTGGTTCTCAACCTGTGGGTCCCCAGGTGTTTTGGCCTACAACTCCCAGAAATCCCAGCCAGTTTACCAGCTGTTAGGAGTTGAAGACCAAAACATCTGGGGACCCACAGGTTGAGAACCACTGCTCTAGAACATGGCCTTATAGCCTGAAAAAACCTACAACAACCCACTTCTATTGTATTGTAACTAATTATTGTAATTTTTTTTAGTATCTAGCTTGTCTTAAATTGCTGTTTAATCTTTATTGGGTTATAAAGCTCTTACTGCTCTGACACATTTTCTTTCTAGCTTATACTAGCTGGAAGCATATGCCTTGCTTGCTTAGAGCTACTATGACCTTCAGATATTTATTGAACTTGGACAGGAATGTTGCACACCTTTGTTTTGGTTAGGTCATTCCCTTCAAATGTAGAAATTTTCCCAACCTATATGTGTTGTCATAATAACTGCAGTAACTGACCAAAAATCCTGATAGATCTTCCTGCTTTCTTTCAGTTATTTTTACCATCGTATTTTCAAAGATAGCTGGGAAATTACTGTTTCTGTAAAGTTGCTTCTATTACAATAAAATGTAGGGTTGCGGGGACTTAAAATAGATTTTAGATGGGGCGGGAATATGTTGCCCTGATCTTCATTCCTCCAACTCTTGCATGCCTTGGTATTCCTTTGTTGAGTGTATTTTCCTTTGACCTTCATTGTAAATGCTTCTCTTTAATATTCAGGCTGTCAAAGGGTAAACTGGGAGACTTACAGCTTTTATAGGAGCCGATCCATGGCTTTTTTTAATTATTATTTTAGCTTGTATGGTTTCGGAGTTTTCTGTAATGTACTCAAGGTTCTATCCAGACCTCTTACAATCAGTTGATGCATGTTATAACAGAACATTGTGCTAAATTCAGGCCACTAAACATTTTGTCAGTTCTGTTAGAGCAGTGGTTCCCAACCTTTTTTTTTTTTGACCAGGGACTTTTTTTTTTTTACTCCAACATTAGTAGCAAAAGGGTTACAAATCAGTTTTTGGTCAACTTTAGATTTGGTTTGGTTATTTGGGGTGCTGATTCAGAAAATTGCATTGGATAGACCACATCAACTGTAGTTTCTGATACAGTAGTTGCCATCTGCTCACCCACAGAAAACCATATTTAATAATCTAAAACTGATGTGGTCTATCCAAGGGTGGAGCTAGTCAGCAACAAGGAAGGAGTGGGATAAGGTGCAAAAAAAAAAAAGCGGAAATAAATAAAGTAAATAAAAAGGAAAGAGGCTTGTGGACCAGATTTTCATCCTCGCAGCCCACTGGTGGTTCGTGGCCCACATCTGAAGAACCACTGTGTTAGAAATTGCATATTTCACTTTGGTTTCATTGGCAGTTCAGCTTTGATTACACATATAGTATTCCATTTCTTTTTTTCTCACCTTTTTTTTTTTTAGTATAATGCTTCACCACAACAACCAAGGGAGATCATTAAAAGTAGGAGTCTGGACAGGAGGCTACAAGAACCAATCGTTTTAACAAAATGGAGGCACAGCTCAATTGTGTTGGACACAAATGACAAGGTAGGAATATCTAAAAGCGAATTTCTATTGCCCCTTTTGTGACATTGTGTGTTCTTTGAAAAATAGTGTTTGCTGAAATTACAGGATCCCAAATGCTAAACCGTTAATAAATTGCAAATCATTGTGAGATGTATTGCATTCTGCACATGACTGGTATCAAATAGATCCTGTGGATTTCACTGAGTATAAAAAGATGGGTTCAAATTTTTGGTCTTAGCCTACCCTCCAAGTATCTCAGTTTTGTCAGGAATAGTCTTGATTAATCCTCTGCTGTCTCACTTTTTGACTGCTTTTAAAATGTCATTGTTTCTTTATCCTACCCTCCCCCTTCCCATTTAGTCCTCCACTAACTTCTATTACTGAAAACTGAATTAAAAAGTAATTTGCATTCAATTAATTTAGCAGGAGGAAAGAAAAGGTGAGAGAGGAATATGACTTTGGCTTAAGTAAAATAGACCTTAGCTTAAGTAAAGTGCTGCAGCCTTGGTAATTTCCTCATTAAAAACTTTCTGTCTATGTAATGTCAAAGCATTTGCCTTGGTCTTATCATGTATTTTGCAAACTCTTAAAAAGAACATGAATTACCATATATACTTGAGTATAAGCTGGGTTTTTCAGCCCTTTTTTAGGCTGAAAAGGCCCTCCTCTGCTTATACTTGAGTCAGTTATTTATTATTTTACTCTGTTGTTATTATTTTTATTACATTTATTATTTTACTCAATTATTGTTATTATTACATTTACATTATTTTACTCTATTTATTATTATTGCATTTATTATTTTACACAATTATTGCTGTTACTTTTCCAGTTCCATTTTTCTGTATTCTTTTTATTACATTTATTATTTTACTCTATTATTATTGGAAGGATACGTAAGCACATTTACATTGAAGAAGGTTAGAATAAAGGTTTAATCAGAGTTGGACAGTCTTATCTTAAATTACAACTTTATGTAAATATTCAAAAACATTTTACGTAGTGATGCCTCAATTAATGTAATTTTATTGGTATCTATTTTTATTTTGAAATTTACCAGTAGCTGCTGCATTTCCACCCTTGGCTTATACTCGAGTCAATACATTTTCCCAGTTATTTTGTGGCAAAATTAGGTGCCTTGACTTATATTCAGATCGACTTATACTTGAGTTTATACAGTACATCATTTGAATATTGCTTCAATCTGCTTTCCATTGTGTTATTAGAACACTATTGTTATTATCTGAATCTGGAATTGAATTATTGCCATAGTTTGTAAACCACCCTGAGTCCCCCTGCGATGTGAGAAGGGCGGGATAGAAGTACAGTAAATAAATAAATAAATAAATAAATATACGGCAAACTATGTTTGCTTTTCTCCAGCACAAGTCAGTGGAAAGTGTTTATTTCCACAAAAGTAAAAATGCCTAGAGTCGAGGGAATATATGTCTGAGATGGGAAGAGGCACGCTTTTCTTTTTCCTTATGTTGATTTCTGAGCATTAGCAATGGCAGGCATCTAACTATATCTGTAATGGCAGCTATTTGGTTTTTCTTTTCCCTGAAGTCTGTAGTTGCTATAGCAGGACATTTATTTTTAAATGTTTATATGCCACTGTTGGATTTTAAAATGCCTAAAGGCATCTAAAACAATATGAAATAGTCTCAAAGCATCAACCAGAGCAATGAGAGCAACAACTAACAAATCAACAGATTTAATGTAAGAGGACAGATGAGGGTTTTTTAGTGAGGAATTCTGTAACTTGGAACCAGTAATGAGAGTGTTCTCTGTTCAATCATCGGGTTTTCATACATAATATAGAAGTAGGCCATGGTTTGGGGAAAATATTGGTTCCATGTAGGATGCTGGAAGTTTGTAGTTCTCTGTATTCCCCCCTTCAATATTTTGGAAATTTTGGAAATCAGGATATTTTCCTTCTTTGTGGTCTGTAGCGTACTCCAAACCTTTAGCCTCACTTTCTAAAGGCTGGTTTAGTTACTTCTGTGTTTAAAAAAATGCCTGTACAGGCAGGACATGACCAGTGCATCCCCCTCACAAAGATTAGAACATCCAAACACATGACAAAATGTCCATTAGCACTCCTCTCATATTAGGGATTCTGCTGGATCCACAGTGATGCAATGGGTGCCTTGTGCCGGCTGAATTGCTGACCTGAAGCTCGCGGTTTGAATCTGCGAGATGGGGTGAGCTCCAGTCTGTCAGCTCCAGCTTCCCATGCAGGGACATGAGATGGTAACATATCCAGCATCCCCTGGGCAACATGCAGACAGCCAGTTCTCTCACACTAGAAGTGACTTGCAGTTTCTCAAGTTCCTTCTAACACGATTAAATAAAAGGGATTCCGCTTTGAGGGTCAGGCAGCTGAGGAGTGTTGGAGGCTATCTGATTGAGTCATCAGAGGATTAGTGACATTTCATAGTCCTACTTAGTTTAGAGCTGGAATATTTAATCTTTTATTCATCAAGATAGACTGCTCTTGGGGATATTCTGCTGTGGAAGGGACCCGTACTAATGGTGGGTGGAGTCAGGGAGAAAATCCCATTTTTTTCTGCAAAGCTTCAACACTCACATCTGGATGTCAGTGTTTTGCACACACCCTCTCCTAATTTCCCCATATTTTGGTGTGTTACAATCTGCAATTGAAATGAGTTTAATGGGCACGAGATACTCAATGCTGGCAAGGACCTTTAGAGGGTATACTCTTTTATGTCCAAGTTTATTCCAATAATATATGTGAAGTACATTTAGTACTCAAATGCAAGTGCCAAGGATTTTTGATGATGATGGATATGATGGCATAGCTCTTAATCTGGCACTGAAATCAAAAGAATTCTAGTAAAGAAACATTATAATGTATAATATTATTATAATAAATGTTATTATTTATGTTTATTTGTTACATAGATCGCTTGCCTTTCCTTCAACAAGCTTAAAGTGGTTTGTGTCTTCCTTCTCCAGGCTATCCTTGCAGTTTTCTGTCAGGTTGAGATACAGTGACTGGGCCGAGGTCATCCAGTCTTCTATATGAGGCCTGATTAATATTAGTTTCTCAATTAGATTAATCAGTACCATAGAATTATAGAACTGGAAGAGACCTCAAGGGCCATCTGGTCCAGCCTTAGTCTGAATTCAAGACAAGTTCTGGTCTTGCATACTCAACTTTATAATCACACTGGCTCTACTTGTCAGCATTGCAGTTCTCCTGCTTTTTGGGAAGGAACTATAACTATGAAGTGCTAATTTTCATATCACTTATTGCTGCTCAAATTATATTCTGTTTTTTAAAGAAAGATCATCAGTAGCCTGCAGAAAAAAATGCCTACATCTAATTTGTTTCCAGCACCCATAATCTTTTGAGAGCAGCTAATTAAAGGGCGTGACTCGCATCTGAATTTATGCAAATCAGTTTCCTTTTGGATTTTAAAAGAGACTATGAAAGCATAATAATATATTAAAATAGTTTTTATATTTTTACAGTTGCCAACTAATTCTTCTGAACTTCTCTTGCCTAATCCTGCATATTTGTTTCCATCATCCCCGAAGCAAGTTAGTATCTGAAGCATGATTTATTTATATACACTATTTAATGATTAGTAGCTTTCCTATGGAAGGAAAAACTGTACGTGAAAATAGTGCTGAATTGTTAGTGTTAGTTTAATTTATACATGGCTATTATTCCACTCTCTTCATATCAAGCAATCATATTCAGTCATATTGCTGAACGTGAATCTTGAGGAGTATCAGAGTCATTTCTGTGAGGTAATTATTTCAATGCATCTTATTTTATAGGATTCTCAAGTTGCTTCGAAGATTTTTTCTGAAAACGACTCCTCTCCTTCCTCGCCTTCCTCTCCTAAGCATCAAGGCACAGTCAGTATGAATTTTGTATTATTAAATAGCCACAACCACTGAGATCTATTGTTATTAATGTATTAAAGGCATTCATGTATGTTACAGTTTGCTGTGAATCCTTCTGTGTTTAAAAAAAAATCAATTCAGAACTAAAACATTGGGAGAGAGAAATAATATATAGGATTGTACTTTTAATTCAAGAGCCAAGTCCCTGTAGTTCAAGTTAGTTCATCTCTTCATGGAGATATTTGTAATAGGAGAGTGATTTACTAGAGTATAAGCCTAGCTCTTCAGCCCCTTTTAAGGCTGGAAAAGCCCCCCATAGCTTATATTCAAGTGAGGGTTCTGGTGGGAAGGTGTAGGGCTGAAAGAAGCCCTTCATTCAGGACCAGGCCTTCACACCAGGACCCTCACCTCTTTGCACAGCAACCCAGCTGTGTGCCTTCCTCTCCTCAGTCCTTCCCACTTGCTCCTTTCCCATCTCAGTATTTTTCCCAACACCACTTTCCCACCCCAGTCTTCCTTTTCTAGTTTCCCCCTTCCTACCCCAGTCTTCCCACTTCTCCACTTGCCTTCTTCCCACTCCAATCTTTCCACCTTTCCAGCCCCCCCCCCTTTTGCATCCCAGTGTTGCTTATTTTGCAGTCTTCCTTTCCTCATCCCAATCTTTTCCACTTGCTCCTCTTTCCCACCCCAATTCCCCCAGCTTTTCCCAATCCCCCTTCACATTCTAGACTCAGGTCTTTCCCACTTTTCCAGCCCCCCTTTCCATCCCAATCTTTCCCAGTTTCCAGCCCCCTTTCAAACTTCAGTCCTTCCCCCTTCCCCAGTTGCCACCTTCCCACTCCCAATCTGTCCTACTTTTCCAGCTACCCCCTTTCCAACTCATTTTCCCACTTTTTCAACCAACCCTTCCCATTTATTTTTGAAATTTATCAGTACCTGCTGCACTTCCCACCCTCGGCTTATACTCGAGTCAATAAGTTTTCCCAAGTTTTGTGGTAAAATTATGTGCCTCAGCTTATACTCAGGTCAGCTTGTACTCAAGTATATACAGTATTTCCTGTTTAAGGAAACAAAAATGCTTCTTCTTCAGTGATGTTCTGTTATTCCTCCTTCAGGATCAAGAGAAGTATGGACTATTAAATGTGACAAAAATTACAGAAAATGGGAAGAAACTTCGGCAAGTATCATGATGATATTTCCACTTGTTAGATCTATTTCTTAGCTTTTTTTTAATGCTTAGGTAAAAAGTAATGTAAATTTAGGCCTCTACCCTATTAATTTTCTCAACTAGAATAAACCCTTCTAATCACTTGTTGAATGGTAGGCCAACACTTAGTTCAACTCTATTTGGGACAGTTAATAAGATTCAAGCTTAACTGATCTTTATTTCAGGGGAAAAATACCTGAATATTTGGTATGAATTTAGATAAATAGTGGCTATTGTTTAGCATACACTCAGTTCTTGCGGGTTTTTTCGGGCTATATGGCCATGTTCTAGAGGCATTTCTCCTGACGTTTCGCCTGCATCTATGGCAAGCATCCTCACCTCTCTCCAGGTGAAAGGCAGTTGGCTTGACATGCCTTTCTCTTGGCATGTTTCTCCCTTTCGCCCATCATTTGTGCCTCGAATTCCGCAGCACTACTGGTCACAGCTGACCTCCAGTTAGAGCGCTCAGGGGCCAGGGCTTCCCAGTTCTCTGTGTCTATGCCACGGTTTTTAAGGTTAGCTTTAAGCTTTAAGTCCATCTTAAAATTTCCTCCATTATTTCTCCTATTTAAGCAGTCATACCGATATGTTGAAAACTAGTTATTGATGGTTCTTGGAAATAAAGGTTGCTAATAATGAGCTATTGTAATGCGTTACTCCATCATTTAGCATTTTTTAACCTATCATTCATGCTCTTGTGGCATGAGAAGTTAAGACTGGCATTTCATTGCCAATAGTATTCCTGAAAATATCATCATACTAAGAATATCAAGCAGTATTGGTTGATATTGGGGCTTGTAACATAGAGTTGATTGTTTACAAATCTCTTGTGCAGAAAGAATTGGATGCCCTGGTGGGCGGTATTGCAGGGACCATCATTGTTGTTTACCAAGACTCAAGGAGGTGGGACTAGTTGGGTAAGTATTTTAAGATTATAATATTTCCGAAAGAATGCAGAAACTACCCATAAGAGCTTTGTGGAGAAACCTTCTGAATTGGTCATGTGGAGTGGTAGAAGCTTTGAGAAAGGGATTAGAGTAGGTTTAAAATTCAGCTACAACCATGGAAATTACTGCCGTGTTATAAGCAGCTGGTTTAACAGACATTCTTATGGATGGATGAACTATTCTTTTGTGTGAACCAGCTCACAAACATTTAACATACCCAGGAAGTGAGTTTTCCAAACGGAGCAAACTCCATAATTGCTTTAATGAATTCCTCTGAGTTGTCAGAACTATTTCAAGTTTTCTAGGATGATCATATGAGCAAAATCTCAGATTTGCAAATCTCTGAAAAGAAGTCACGAATGCTTTTCTTTTTTTCCTAGAAGTTTGGAGGAAACCAATCTAAGCCGGAGTTCACAGTGGATCTGAGAGGGGCATTTATTGACTGGGCTACAAGAGAGAAGTCTAGCAAGAAAAATGTGATCGAGGTGATTGTTTCCCTTTTTTGCCATTCTTTTTTTTATGTATTGCAAACTTGACTACAGAGGTGAAAGGAGTATTGAACTGCAATACAGTAACATCAGAATGCTGCAGAAGAGTGGGGTTTGCCAGGACAGTGGGGTTTGAAATTAGTTACAAAGTGTGTAGATATCCTTGTAACTTTATCCTATCCCCCAACTGCAGAGCCACAAATACTGTTAGGTTACAATTACCATTATCCACAATCTGCATGGCAGATAATCAAAAGTGATGGGAGTTGTCATTCCATAACACCTGGAGATCCAAACTGGGTCAAAACTAAAGAGCACTGATCACTGTATCTAAGGCTTCTCTGTCCATGGATTCCTCTGATATAGAGGATTCTTCTTTAAACAATAAATGTTGTCATTGATGTGAGTAGTATACATGTTTGCTTTTATTGCTGTAAGACAGAGCTTTCCAAACATTTTATGTTGGTGACATACTTTTTTGGACATGCATGATTTTGCGACACAGTCATTCATTTTTATTAGCAAACTGACCCCTTATGAGATACAGATACATACATAAATTATAATAACAAAACCTTTCATTTATATTTTTAAAAATACATGATTTATTGCCTATTTTATATAGACTCAATGGTTTCTTGATACTTTACATACTGCACCCAACACATGGACATGACGCAACACACAGTTTGGAAAGCTCTGTTGTAAGATGACAAAAAAAGAGGCAGAAACAAATATTTTAGAAGAAATTGTTACAGCATAACAACCGCCCTTATCACTGGGAACTTGCAGCACCTTTGGGACTAAGTAAGAGAAAGAGATTTGCAAAAAATAAAATAAAATTCATAGATTGGAATTACTTCATCAGATGCATTCAAAGTTGACCTAGTCTAACAAAGTTTATGCTACAGATATTTTTCTCTAAATCTCACTATTAAATTCCTTTGTATTCTGATACAGACTCACATGTCTATGTCCTCGAGTACTGCTTAATATTGGGGTATATCTTGTGGGGAAACATTGAATGACTGTCCAGTGTATTAATTCTAACACCAAGTTTTGTTTTGTTTTAAAGGTGAAAACCAGACAAGGGACTGAGCTGTTAATTCAATCAGACAATGACATTTCTGTTACTGAGTGGTTTAAAGTTCTGAGCTATGCCATCAGTAAACATGTACGTATTTGAATCCTACCTAACTGTCTTCCCTTTTGCTCTAGGCTTGAAAATGGGTGCTCTCTGTGTGGCAAAACAACAATTAAACAAACGTTGAAGTGTCATTGATCACAGTGCAGTCTGTGCACTGCATATGTCTTGCTGGATCCAAAATTACTATCTCTCCCCCACCCAACAATATCTTGGGAACCTATTTTTGTATCCTGTCATGCCTTATAGGGCACAAAAGTATAAATGGCCTATAAATACTGTGGGAGAGCCATTTTGTCATATGCAGATATTCTAAGCAGGATTTTTTTTAAAATAAAAAGAATGGGCTACTTGATGTAGGATGTGCACCACCCAGTTTCCCCTAAAACAAGACATACCCATGAAATAAGCCATAGCAGGATTTATAAGCATTTGCTCAATATAAGCCATATCTGAAAATAAGACATAGTGATAGACGTGTCTATGCAGCGTACAAGGTCAGCACTCCACCAGGTTCCAGTCGTCCTGTGCGTGCTGCAAGCTGAGACATAGAGGGAAACATAGAAAGTGAAAGTAAATGTCTGTCTCCTCAGTGAAGTGAGGAGCAGGGTGCTCTGCTTTAGGTATTGTGTGTCCTCCGGGGGAAGAAGTAAAGCTGTGGCTGCAGTTTTACTCAACACTGTGGGTCTCTTTCCCCCAGCACCAACCAGCAGCAGTCTGTGGGTCTTTCTCACAGTAGCCCAGAGAGATCATCCCATAAATGCAGATTGTTGTACCGTACTAAATAAAAATAATACATTCCCTGAAAATAAGCCATATTTTCTTGAGGAAAAATAAATGTAAGACAGTGTCTTATTTTCAGGGAAACATGGTATTAAGGTGTAGTGCTGGTGGTTCACTTTAAAATGGAATGTTGATTAGATAGAGGTACTTTTAAATAAAATCTCTGTATGGTTCTTTTTTTCCTCTTCAGGGTTTGTACGTTACCTTTTAAGATCTGAAGAGTAAATAATATAAAAAAAGAGGTTTAGGATTGATTTACATCTTTCTAATAGAGACCTAGTTGCTTGGGCTTAGACTTACATGCAGTACCTGTGTGTACTCAGAATACAAAAGAGCAACATTGGCGTGTTTTATTCATAAAAAGGGGGAAAAACACTCCTTGCAGCTTGATAAAGGATTTTATGACAAGAATGGAAAATCCCATTGTTTACTGTCAACATTAATTCCTTAATGCTGTTTACTGAAGCTTTCATAAATGGCTCTTTAGTAAACTGGCAGTGAACCCAGAACACAGTCCCAAGCATCATGTTGCAAGTGCATAGCTTTGTTGGGATGCTGCCAACTGCTTCCTGATTTGCGCAGGGTTTGGAATTGATATCTGGCACTGGAAAGGAGCCTATGCAGATTATATCTCACTGAATGATTCAGCTAAATATCTGATATTAACAGAGAGAGGAGAGCTTTCAAGGCTTGGCAGGTCATGGTGTTAGATTGACTTAACGGCCTCAGTCTGGCCTTTTGCCTGAGATGACTTTAGCCAACAATTATTTCCAGTCCTGCTTACAATTGTGAAACTATCAAGGCCCATCTCGGTTACATGGTTTGAGAAAGATGTAGCATCGGCTATTAGCTTGTATTCAGCTTTAAAACTCTCTGGTATGGTAACCTATACCTCTGCAGTTTGTCACAGCTCTTTTTGTACAGCCTACTAATGGTTTAAGGCTACCCAGAAAATCAAGTTTTTGGTTTTCCCCAGACCCTTGGTTTTATTAAGAGGGCTACAGGTTTCCCATCCATGAATGATGGCATTGTGGGATAAATGGCAGTGCTCATTGCAGTCCATGTTGAGAAGAGCATGGCCTTCCTTCACTTGGAATTGAAGTCCAAAACACCTGGAGGGCCGAAGTTTGCCCATGCCTGTACTAGAAGGTCATAGGCAAGTTACTGTGTCTTAGCTACAACATACATACTAGGAATATTGAGATAATGTTTGCAAAATGTACTTTGGATTATAAGTTACACTTAAATAACAACAACAACAGCAACACCTTATTTATATTTCGCCCTTCTCTCCAAGGGGACTCAGAGCAGATTACAGCATATAAACAGACACAGGCAAACATTCAATACCTTGTTACAGTGAAATACAATGAAATACAAATAACAGACAAAGGCAAAGGCTTCTGCTTTTCATTTCCAGCTCTGGAGGCGGTGCTCTCTATTTCCAAGCCAAGGAGCCTGCATTGTCATAGACACCTCCTGGTCGTGTGGCTGGCATGACTGCATGGAGTATCTTTTTGCCTTTTCCCGCTGAGGCAGTATTGATGTGCTCACATTTGCAAGTTTTTGAACTGCCAGCGGGAGCTCACCGCACCGCGTGGATTCGAACTGCCAACCTTCAGGTCAGCAGTTCAGCAGCACAAGCCCCTAAAGAATTTGAGCCATAGACAAGGGCAGAGATTTTAAGCTTCCACTGACAGAAGCAATTCATATATACTATGAGGATGAGAACCTATTGAAAATTAATGTCTAGTTATTAAATAAATGGAAACATTTATAAGATCACGATACCTAAGTTTCATTATGAAGCAGCAATTTAATTGGATGCACTGTAAAAGAGTGTGCTTCATTACATAAAGTATTATTACTTGAATCCTTTTCTTTATCTCAATAGGCAGCAGAGTCCGATGAAGCACTGGAGGATGAAGTGCCAGATTCTCCGGGGGTGGAAAAACAAGACAAAGAAAAAGACCACAAAGATGCCAAAAAACTTCGTTGTAAGTTGCATTTCCTTTGCTTTGGCTTTTTTTTTTTTACATACTCTGCATAGTGATGAGAAATTGTAGGTTAACATCTTATCAATGGAAAACATTTCTTGATAATTAGATATTGCTCCATCGTAATTTTGTCTGTGTTCTTGTAAGGTGTCTGTTTGCCTTTGGTCAGCTTTCAATTGCTGACATACAACCAGTGTTTATTTACACTAGTTTTACTTATCTGAGTGAAGCTAAACACCTTTTTGTCAGTGATAAATATTTATTTCAGAGAAAGGGATGTGTCATCAGGTTTGAAGGAAGCTAATTCTTTTAGAAATTTTATACCAGTCTCCCAAGATCCTGCAAAGAGTAGTTTCAAGCCTTCATTTCCATTCTGTGCATCAGTAAAGAATTTTTGTAGGAAGTTAGTCTACTCAGTTAATGGAACCAACAGATTATGTGAGTTTTTTTTTCATGTCAGGAGTGACTTGAGAAACTGCAGGTCAGTTCTGATGTAAGAGTATTGGTTGTCTGCAAGGACATTGCCCGGGGGATGCCTGGATGTTTTACCATCCTGTGAGAGGCTTCTCTCATGTCCTCATATGGGAAGCTGGAGCTGACACACAGGAGCTTACCTCGCTCCCCGGATTTGATCCATCAACCTTTCAGTCAGAAGTCTTTTTGGCACAAGGATTTAACCCATTGTGCCACCGGGGGCTCCATGTGAGAATCATAATACTAACAGTCTGCTAGAAACTTTGTAAATGCATTACAAATATGAAGGCTAGTATTGCAACTATAGTGTGCATTTCAACATTTTTCCATAAACATGTGGAAATTGCTTGTTGGGCTTTCATACAATTGGTAGCACAAAGCATAGGCTATTAATATTACTACGTGACAGGTTTTTTCCTCTATATAATTCCAATTTCAGCACTCAATACATTAAGACAAATAAATCACTTAAACATAATGCAATTATGTTTTTTTCAGCAATAAAAATATCTGGTAGCATTGATTCTACTGAACAGAAGAAGACCAAAACAAAACTGAAGAAATTTTTGACCCGCAGGCCTACATTACAAGCAGTCCGTGAAAAAGGCTACATCAAAGGTGAGGCTCCTCCCTTTCTTTTAATACAATGTTTGTGATATTTATTTGTATTTGGAATTGGCAAATAAAGTAATAAGGACAGGCACTGAGTAGGTGGGCGGTTGATGTTCTTTTCTCTTCCTTCCTTCCTTCCTTCCTTCCTTCCTTCCTTCCTTCCTTCCTTCCTTTTCTGTTCCTTGCAAATGTTTCTTACTCAGGTGCACCCACCAGCCCAGCCCCACAAACACAAAGCTTCCCTTTATTAATCTTGTTCATCTTTATGAATGAGAGTATCATTTTTAAAGTTATGATGTGAAAGCTTTGATTTTTACAAGTAGAAATACAGTAAAAGATGTACATTGAATGAGAAAGGAGTTGTAACTAGACTCACAGTGCAGACAGTCCTCAAGTTATGAGCAAGGTAGATTCTGTAGGTTTGTTCTTGTTAAATTTGTATGTAAGATGGAACAAGTACATGTTTAAGTATAACTCTAGCTAAAAATACACAGTTTTATCTTTGAATAGCATAGGGAAGTGTTTATTTTGCTGTCTGTGGCCCTGGTCAGAAGATTTCATCTCACTTTCTATCCCTGTGATAATTGAATTTTGAAAAAAATGGCTTGTTGTGGAGACAAGGATTGGAGATGAAGCTTCAGTGGAGGGACCTTTTCCCCATGATATCTCTTTCAGGAGTGAAATTCCCTTCTGAGCGGTAGATTTCTCTCACTTCCTGTTGTCTCATCCCTGTTTTTAACTATGAGTTTTTTGCAAGTTGGATGTTTGTAGCTCTAGGACTACCTGTATCTACGTTAGATGCTGATCAATTTAGAAAAGAAAAAAGTAACAAGCCAGAGATGACCAACTCAGACTTTTGCCTATGACTCTGAGGTTTTCTCGCTCTCCTTTTCCTGGTATATGGGAAGAGCTCTATATCATGGAATCCACTTAAAAAGCAAAATCCATTGCTTCTCGGCCTTTTGGCTATGATCAAGTGTAGTATCTGTTCTGGTCAATTTAATATCTGATACGTCCTCTATTGGATGACTATATATTAAATGGATTTTTGGGCCTGGGAGATGGAATAGGGCAGTGTTTCTCAACCTGGAGGTCGGGATTCCTGGGGGGGGGGGGTCAAAAGGGGATATCAGAGGGGTCGCCAAAGATCATAAGGAAACACAGTATTTTCTTTGGTTATGGGGGTTCTTTGTGGGAAGTTTGACCCAATTCTATCATTGGTGGGGTTCAAGCTCTTTGATTGTAGGTGAACTATAAATCCCAGCAACTACAACTCCCAAATGTCAAGGTCTGTTTCCCCCAAACTCCACCAGTGTTCACATTTGGGCATATTGAGTATTCGTGCCAAGTTTGGTCCAGATCCATCATTGTTTGAGTCCACAGTGCTCTCTGGATGTAGGTGAACTACAACTCCAAAACTCAAGGTCCATGCCCACCAAACCCTTCCAGTATTTTCTTTTGATCATGGGAGTTCTGTGTGCCAAGTTTGGTTCAATTCCATCGTTGGTGGAGTTCAGAATGCTCTTTAATTGTAGGTTAACTATAAATCCCAGCAACTACAACTCCCAAATGACAAAATCCAACACCCCCCCCCCCCCCCACCCCACCAGCGAATAACATCTATACAGTATCCAGACAGCACTAGATACACAGCGTGCATATTGAATGATGTAGATAGCCACCGCACACCTATAGCCAGAGACATGCAAATAACAAAATCAACCCCCCCACCACCACCACCATCACTAGTATTCAAATTAGGTATTTGTGCCAAATTTGATCCAGTGAATGAATATATATCCTGCATATCAGATACTTACATTACGATTCATAATAGTAGCAAAATTGCAGTCATGAAGTAGCAACGAAAATAATTCTATGGTTGGGGGTCACCACAACATGAGGAAGTGTATTAACGGGTCACGGCATTAGTAAGGTTGAAAACCACTTGAATAGGAGTTTATTCCATCCACTGCATGCATCAGCCTTGGTATTACCTATTACTGTGCCCTCAGGAACGGTGCACCAAAAAATTGCCTGACACCTACCTTCATCTGTTAGCTGTACACCATCTTCGCTCCAATTTAATCAAATTATTAAAGAGTTGTTTATTTAAGTTGTTATTTTAATTTTTATTGCATCCTTTTTTGGGTTTTTTAAAAAGTCTGTTATATGTTTGTTATACGGCACTGAATGTTTGCTACTGTGTTTTATTGTACTGGAAGCTGCCCTGAGTCCCCTCAGGGAGATAGGGCGGGCTATAAATAAAACATTGTTGTTGTTGTTGTTGTTGTTGTTATGTTGTTCACTTGCAAACACTGTTTCTTTCCCCATTTTTCAGATCAAGTATTTGGTTGCAATCTAAGCAGCTTGTGTCAAAGAGAGAACACCACGGTGCCAACATTTGTGAAACTATGTATTGACCATGTTGAAGAACATGGTAAGAAGAAGATAAAACTTGCTAATTCTGAACACTGTTGATACTGATTTTACTAAGCTTTTGCATAGATGTCAAATCAATTCTGTTTGGGCAGAATAGTCATTCTGTATGAAATGCAAGCTTAGCTTGTCTCTGTTATTGTTCCTCTTTCTATGTCTCTTGAAACTTTAGAAAACCAAGTATCTTATGTGTTTAGAGATGTTAAAAAAATCCTGTGGATATAGAGGTCACACTGCATTTTAGGAAACTGTATGTGTGATATCAGAACTAAAAAGCTATAACCTCATAATAAATTTGTAATTTTTTACAGGATTGGATGTTGATGGGTTGTACAGAGTTAGTGGAAATCTTGCAGTAATACAGAAGTTAAGATTTGCTGTTAATCACGGTAAGTTCCTCTTAATAACCACCAACTAAAGAATTGATTTAGTGATTCAGTTCCTAATTGATAAAGAAGAGCTATAGTGAGTTAGTCCTTGATCTGTAAATGCTTGACACAGCGAAGTTTAACACATTATGTTTTCATTCTGAAACACTGAGGAGAAATGGTGATCTTAGCCAACACTGAACCACATTTTATAAGGTTTTTAATCTTTAGCTTTAATATTCTTTCATTGTTATTTGTTTCTTCACTGAAATGTTCGTTTTAATAGTTTGAATCATGCCAATTGGAGCTCGTTTTGAGGCAGCGAAACCAGCCAACAACATGTTTCTTTCTCTTTCAGATGAAAAACTGGATTTGAATGACAGTAAATGGGAAGACATCCATGTCATTACAGGAGCCCTGAAAATGTTTTTTAGAGAATTGCCAGAGCCACTCTTCACGTTCAGCCATTTCAATGATTTTGTCAATGCGATCAGTAAGTATTTCATGAAAGAAACTTTTCACCCTGTGAATGTCTAGTTCATTTCAATTAGAAGTGTGTACAAAAATAAGAGATTGATCTAAACATCAGGATGCCTGCACTTGAATCCCACTTGCACTATTAACTCAGCAGCTAGCCCTAAAACGTCATAGTGTATTCGCTTTATCCTTCCCACTACCACTATGCCAGGAACACTGGGGTTATTGTTCAATTGAGAAGAATTTATGTTGCAAATTACTTTGTAAAATGCTATCAGTGTAACCTAATAATATATTATTTAAGTACTATACACTTTAAGAGAGCCAGCGTGGTGTAGTATTGGACTGTGACCTAGAGCAGAGCTTTCTAAACTGTGTGTCACAACCCATCAGTGTGGCTGAAGCTTATTAGTGTTTTGTGCAAACATAACGGGAAACCTCTAGGTCAGGCATGGGCAAACTTTGGCCCTCCACGTGTTTTGGACTTCAATTCCCATAATCCCTAACAGCAATAAATCACATATTTTTAAAAGTATATATGAAAACTTTTTCATGAGATATGTTGTGTCCACTTAGATTTTGTCATTACAAGCTATATATGTGTCCATATCACTTATAACGGATTGGTTGAATCTCCGATTTGGTAGCAAAGCTGAATTACTGTGTCGCAAATTAATGCATGTTTAAAAAGTATGTCACCAACATGAAAAGTTTGAGGTTCTGATCTAGAGACTAAGGTGGGAATCCCTAGTTGGTAATGGATATCCATTGGATGACCTTGAGCAAGTTCCTCTCCATCCCAGATGAAGGCAAAGGCAAAACTGCTCTAAATAAATAAATCTTGCTAAGAAAACTCAATTTTTTCATGTCAGAAGCAACTTGAGAAACTGCAAGTCACTTCTGGTGTGAGAGAATTGGCCATCTGCAAGGCCGTTGCCCAGGGATGCCCTGATGTTTTGATGTTTTAACATCCTTGTGGGAGGCTTCTGTCATGTCCCCGCATGGGGAGCTGGAGCTGACAGGGGGAGCTCATCCACATTCTCCCCAGATTTGAACCTCTGAACTGTCAGTCTTCAGTCCTGCTGGCACAAGGGTTTAATCCTGCAACTCCATGATAATAAAGGAGAAATAGCCATGCTGCAATTACAAGTGATTATGTAATTGTTATGTTCACATCATTTCTAGTTTATGGTGACCCTAAGGTGAACCTTTCATGTGTTTTCTTGACAAGATATGTTCCTAGGAGGTCAGCCTTAGAGGCTGAGAGAGTGCAGTTTGCCCAAAGTCAGCCAATATGTTTTCATGGCTGAGTGAAGATTTAAACTCTGGTCTCCAGAGTTATTGTCCGGTGCTTAAGCCACCACGCCACACTAGCATTCATTGTTTGTACAATAGTACAGTGTTTTTAATTATTGACTTTTGTAGGCAGGTGTCAGATGCATGAAGTAGTCCCATACATTCTTGAGAGCACAAATCAAGCCATGAACATAGAATCTAAACAGTGTGGTTGTTTCCAGTTTCCACCTAGGATCAATGAGCCTAGCAATATGTAGTGTAAATGGACACTCAAGTGAATTTCTTTAGCAAGCAGATTATTTCTAGGATTCACTGAAAGCAGGTTCCATAGCATCACAGTTAGTAATGAATTCCAAACTTGGTAAGGTCATGCGGAAGAAAAATCAGCCTTTTAAGCTTTATTTATTTTTAATGACCACTATAGAAGGCCTTAGGGGACTGAAATGCATTCCAGCTTGCCTTTTGCCATGTTTCTTGTCTGTGTCCACTTACTATTTACTAAAATGGAAGGAGCCCATTGCAGGTAAATTGTTAAGATCGCATTACGAAGGACACACATACCTTTAATACCATCATGTTTTTATACTCCTATTATAATTACAAGTCGCCTTCACCCATTGAATAAAATGTGGTGTCTGCTAACAATTTATACCCTCTTAAGTTACTAATCTTATGCTTGTAGGGATACTATAGAATTTTAATGTGCTTGCTAGTTAATGCTGCAGTAGACCAACAGCAATTATTTTGTTGTTGTAAGGAATTATAACTTTGGCCACGAGGTGGCAGCCGATATTAGCTTATGTTCTCCTCTTTCCCTTTCCTGTGCAGAACAAGAACCTAGGCAGCGAGTTCATGCTGTAAAAGAGCTGATCAAACAGTTGCCAAAGCCAAACCAAGATACCATGCAAGTACTCTTCAGGCATCTCAAGAAGTGAGTAACTGTTATTATTCTCAGGATGAACAAATTTATTATTATTTTTTGTTTACTATATTTGCATACCGCCCTTCCCAGCCCTCAGGCGACTCAGGGCGGTTTACAAAGGCAACAATTTGATGCCCAAACACCATAAAACATTTAAAAACATTACTATATAATATAAAACCATCACAAAAGCAATAAAAACATAAATCATTTTCATCTCCTAATTAAAACGTTGTCCTATTAAAGTCAGCCTGCCCTTCCAGCCCAGCTCCTTGCACTCGACTTCTCAAAAACTGAGTGCTAGCACAGTATAAAGGAGTGTAGAGGTGTGAGATGAAGGAAATGAGTTGTTTGCCACAATACCTTGAAACTCATTGTAGTGGATCGTTTCGCATATTTGTATGCATCGGCACTGAGAAATGGTCCAACTAACTGTAATGTAAAGTTCTTATAGGTAGGATTTCCAATCCATAAAATTAATGACACAATCTGGGCTAGTGTAGAGCTCTAGAGCTTATAAACTTGGATTGTGCCATTAATTTTATGAATAGGGAATCTCTCTGTAAGAATATACACAGGGAAGGGATGCTATTGCATTGTAGGTTTTTTTAAAAAAAAAGCAATTACTTTATCCTCATAAGATCAGCAGGAAAGGTCTATGTACACATCAGAGACTTTGGAACAATATACTGATATTTGGGGCACTGATGCAGAACATTGCATTGGATAGACCACATCAGCACATAGAAATAATAATAATGATAACAATAACTCTGGCACAAGCCAGTTAATGTGATCCCAGTGGTGATTGACACACTGGGTGCAGTGCCTAAAGACCTTGGCCTGCACTTAAAAACAGCGCTGTCAATACTAGCATCTGTCAGTTGCCCAAGGCCACCTTAGTTTGATCTGCATGCATTATTCGCCGATACATCGCATAGTTCTAGACACTTGGGAAGTGTCCAACGTGTGATCAAATACAAAAGCCAGCATAGTGATCGTGTTTGCTGTGTACTCATCTTATTGTGTATCAAATAATAATAATAACAGTAATGATGATAATAATAATAATACTTTATTTATAACCCACCCTATCTCCCCAAGGGGACTCCGTGTGGTTTATAATGGTTGTCATGATTTTCTATGGGCAAGCAGATGGTAACTGACAAATCCACATATTCCGTATCTCAAAAACTGGAGCTAATAGGGGAAAAGTGGCACCATTTTTGGAATCAGCAAATCAAGTATACACAGGAATGGGTCTGTCGCTTGAGGCACCAAAATGTGTGTTGGACTATGTAATACAGAAGTTACTTTGATAGCTGCTATGTTATTTTTCGTTTTAGTATCTGAAATGCGCATCCCTTTCTTTTTTCCAGAATTGTAGAAAATGGAGAGCGGAACCGAATGACCTATCAGAGCATAGCCATAGTGTTTGGCCCAACTCTGTTAAAACCAGAAAAAGAGACATGTAACATAGCTGTTCACACCGTGTATCAGAACCAGATTGTAGAGCTAATCCTACTAGAACTGAACTCCATCTTTGGACGCTGAATTTCCCTGTGAAATTGGCCTTAGGAGAAAGACGACAACTACTGTTCTTCTTCTTCTGGCAGAAACTGCATCTCTTTTGTACGTGGCGCTATTTGTGGACCAAGCAGTAACTTGATGTTTTTTGCACTTTTTGTGGGAGAGGGAAGAGAGTGTTTTGTTTTAGCTGAATTTTCTTTTTCTTTTTTTCCCCTTTTTTTGGTGGAAAATACCGAAACTTTGAATTTCCTTACAGTTAATTATTGTGACTGTCTCAAAGTGTGTGTATATATATATACATATATATATTCAATAAGACTTTAAACTTCAGATCTCATATAGCTGTATACACACTGGAGTCCATAGTGAGAGAAGCTAAATCTGAATGTCAGTCTGGATCATCTGGAATAGCATTTTCCATTAATTTTTAACATTGGTTTCGCCATTTACTTTTGGGGATGATAAAGCTCCTCAGCTGACTCGGAAAACCTCCACGGGCATTTTGAGTGAATAATTTCAACGTGTGCTTATATGTTCAGCCTGTAAGATAATTCTTATATCTTGTCCACAGGGTTATTTTCCTTTCTGTTTGTTTGGCAGATTTAAATAATTGCTAACAGTGGCCAGTGGAAATTCCTCACATGAGGTCTGCTTTTTTGTTCTTGGTATTGTTTTAACTTTGTTGCACAGACTCATGCTGGCTCTCTTGAATGCACAGCAGCATTGCTTCAGATACTGAAATGGTACATATATCCGACGGAGGAGATATACTATATGGTCTGTGATGAATCGGAGCTTTCAGCTAATAAAATTTGTATTTTCCAGGATATGTTTGGTCTACACTTTGATCTAAAATGACATGGTACCAAACAATCCTAACGTATAAAGAGTACACTGAATTGTTGGTATGAACCTGTGGTAGTGAATTGGGATGTGAAGACCGTACTGTGTTTGGATTTTACAATATTTATATACAAAATGGAACTGTCTCAGAATACTTTCTGGTCTTCTATTTCTATCATGTGCAAATTAGCAAGTGATATTATTACGCCATCAATGGTGTTTCAGAGTTCCCACACAGTCATGAACTATTTGGGGAAGCTGCACTTTTCAATGGCAATTACATATGCATGCAAGCGATTGCAATGCGACTGGTACTGGAATAACACTGAGTGTGTTTTGCTTCAGTGGTTAATGCACTACAAGCAAAGCCTCTGATATTATTTAATATGTATAGGAGCTACATTAGGTAAATGTATTGCAAATTCTAATGCCTATAAATAACAGAACCCTATGTTTGAATAGATGGATATCTGGATATAATGAAAATGCCGAACTTCAAGATTCCTTTTTACATTAATATTATAGATTGATTTGTAAAATAGGTTTCAGGAGATTTTGTTACAGGAGACATGGTCCGCGGAAGATTTTTTTTAAATGTATTTTTCTAGACTAACTGCTGTATCTGACATTTGCTACATGGAATCTGAATAAATAAAACTGTTAGCCGTTTTGGAATCCGGTGCTCTAGATTTGGGTAGTATCTTGTCCTCTTGAAACCATACATACCAAGTATGCAATAACCTTTTTCTTAATGCTGTATGTTATTTCGGTTGACTGGTTGGAGAAGTGGAATGACTGTTGTTCTTGCCTTTTTTCTTGGATTATCTAATTCCCAAAGTGTGGCTATATTGCTGTATAGTGACTGAGACTTGGATTTTAAAAAAGGGATTTCCTTATAGAAACATTTTTCAACATGGGGGTCAGGACCCCTGAGGAGGTCACAAGAGGGTTTCAGAGGAGTCACCCAAGACCACCAGAAAACATATTTCTGATTCTCTTGGGAACCCCTTTGGCAGAGAAGGCTGAAGATCCCTCCACCTGTCATTCTCTTCCTTTTTGGAAACAGACGGCAAATCCTCCCACCAAAAGCCCTCCTCTGCTATGATTGGCCAGCATCTCAGCCAAGGAGAAGGCTGTTTCTGATACTCTGAGTGAGGAAGGGGAGAGCAGGCATGCTCAACACATGGCAGCGTGGTGCACATGTTCGGGCGAAGGAGAGCGTATGAGGTTGGAGGAAGGCTTGCGCCAGCAAATCCCTTCAAGGCATGGCAGTTCTGTCTCGGAATTTTGGTCCAATTCTATCATTGATGGGATTCAGAATGCTCTTTGATTGTAGGTGAACTATAAATCCCAACAACTACAACACCCAAATGTCAAGATCTATTTCCCCAAAACTCCACCAGTGTTCACATTTGGGCATATTGAGTATTTGTGCAAAGTTTGGTCCAGATCCATCATTGTTAGAGTCCACAGTGCTCTCTGGATGTAGGTGAACTACAACTCCCAAACTCAAGGTCAATGCCCACTAAACCCTTCCAGTATTTTATGTTGGTTATGGGAGTTCTGTGTGCCAAGTTTGGTTCAGTTCCATCGTTGGTGGAGTTCAGAATGCTCTTTTATTCTAGGTTAACTATAAATTCCTGCAACTATAACTCCCAAATGACAAAAACAACCCCTCCAACCCCACCAGTATTCAAATGTGGGCGTACTGGGGTTTTGTGCCAAATTTGGTCCAGTGAATGGAAATACATCCTACAAACGATATTTACATTACAATTCATAACAGTAGCAAAATTACACTTCTGAAGTAGCAACAGAAATAATTTTATAGTTGGGGGTCACCACAACATGAGGAACTATATTACGGGGTCGTGGCATTAGGAAGGTTGAGAAACACTGCCTTAAGGGATGCTGAAGGCATTTATAATGCTAGGGCTCAGAATCAAATCTGGCAGCCAACCTCTGTTGAGCAAGGAGCAATATAAAATGCTTTCTACTCCAGCCTTCAAGATGATTGTAACACTACACTCCAGATTTAGAGGTGATTATAACATGCTTCTCCACCTGCAACTTGTTTTTGAGGACAAGCCCTTTCGGGGTGGATGACAGTAACCGAAGCTATCAAGGCCTGAATGGCGTGGAAAAATCCTTATCCTCCAGAAGGCGCATGGCTGTTGTCTCTGATAAAAGCACTTCTGAATACCCAAGAGGCCTTGCTAAGAGTCAGGCCGAGCCAAGGGACGCTCTCAGAATGTAAATGGGCTTCTCCAAGGGAAATATGATCCCAGTCCACAAACAGATTAAGGTTTTTTCTCTCTAGAGAAACCACTTGCTAGTCGTCACCACCTTTGATTTTAATACAGAAGGTACCCGGCGTTTCCATATGTATAGGTACACACATAAAAATTAAGCAAAGTTTAATAATTTTGATTAGAGTCCTGGTTTGAGGTTCAGCCATAATTCAGTCCTAAAATTCATAGGGTGATCTGTAGAAATATAAAATATATAACAAGTACACATTCTTCTAGATGGCTTGATTGGGTGATGAATATTATCAAAGTGCTGAAACATCAAAATAAAAACAACTAACAGGCATAGCAGACTGTAGTGGTATGGACCAGAGTTTCTTAAACTGTGGATCCCAATTCACCCTTTAGCTCAGCGTTGGGGTCCTGCAAGATTTGACAACTAAAAGATTCCTGACAGTTACCTAGTCGCTGTTGTAGACATGTATATGAATCTGTTGTGCAGCATTTATAGTGAACTCTGCAGAAGATGGTTCAGCTGTAAAAAAGAGAATCAGCAAGCCTTGCACATGTTGATTTGTTAGAAGTAAATGTTTCATTTTTATACCTATTTTGTATACCTATATACCTATTTCTCAGGCGAAAAGGGGTCACGAGTGGACAAGTTTAAAAAGCCCTAGCATAAATGAACTGTGTAAATGGAAAAAATGCCCAGTTGGCATAATAGGCCTCACAGAATCATAGAATCATTGGGTTGGAAGAGACCTCGTGGGCCATCCAGTCCAACCCCCTGCCAAGAAGCAGGAACATTGCATTCAAAGCACCCCTGACAGATGGCTCTAGCCTCTGCTTAAAAGCCTCCAAAGAAGGAGCCTCCACCACACTCTGGGGCAGAGAGTTCCACTGCTGAACAGCTCTCACAATTAGGAAGTTTGTCCTAATGTTCAGGTGGAATCTCCTTTCCTGTACTTTGAAGCCATTGTTCAGTGTCCTAATCTCCAGGGCAGCAGAAAACAAATTTGCTCCCTCCTCCCTATGACTTCCCCTCACTATTTATACATGGCCATCATGTCCCCTCTCAGCCTTCTCTTCTGGGCTAAACATGCCCAGCTTTTAATCGCTCCTCATAGGGCTTGTTCTCCAGACCCTTGATCATTTTTAGTCGCCCTCCTCTGGACACATTCCAGCTTGTCAACACCCCTCTTCAATTGTGCTGTCCAGAATTGGACACAATATTCCAGATGTGGTCTAACCAAGGCGGAATAGGGCTAAACAGGACTTCCCTGGATCTAGACACTAGCTCTTATTGATGCAGGCCAAAATTCCATTGGCTTTTTTTTTTTTTTTTTTGCCACCACCTTACATTGTTGGCTCATGTTTAACTTATTGTCCACGAGGACTCCCAAGTTCTCTGAATGGCACTGAGAAGAAAATGAGGCAAGGATCACATTATCTTTGGAGCCTTTCTTTTGTTTCTGTTTCTCGTGAACATTAAAAGTGTCTTGCAAATTGGTGTATGATGTGTTAAGAATTTTACATTTTCTCAAAGGCTTTAAAAATGTCCATTTGTCATTATTTTAGTAATAGGAAGTGATGGTAAGTATATAATTTAATGTAGAAAAGTAGTCCCAAACGAGACTTATAAGCATAGGTATAAAGGAGTGTCTCAAAAGGAACAAAAAACAGAGCATAATGTTTCCATTAGCATATCAAAGCTGTCAGGTCTGACAGATCAGCATCTATTGTCCTAACCTGTGGCTATGCCTCCGAACAAATGAGTTTTGCTAACTCAGGTTTTGCTTTGTTAGAAAAAGCGGCCTTGTTTTCCTCAGGGTGCTGGAAGTGAGACTGCTAATTAGTGACATTCAAAATACCTTGAGTTTTGCAAATTAAGTTTAACTTTGTTTAGTCGCTACAGATTACTGGAGGCATTTTGTAGAAAGAAACACAAAACCTTGATGCTATTTTGATATTTAAAAGTATGTCTTTTAACTCTTCACTCTTGCATGTAGATAGCTCAAAGCAGTCTCTTGTATTGAATCATGTCCTGCATGCTGTGCTAGAGGAGTCTTAGATACAAATTCCCTTATATCTGTGTTTCTCAACCTGGGGGTGGGGACCCCTGGGGGGGGGGGGGTCATGAGGGGTATCAGAAGGGTCGCCAAAGACCATCAGGAAACAATATTTTGGTTGGTCATGGGAGTTCTGTGTGTCATGTTTGGTGCAGATCTATTGTGGGCTGAGTTCAGAATGTTCCTTTATTGTAGGTAAACTATGAATCCCAGCAACTACAACTCCCAAATGCCAAGGTCTATTTTCTCCAAACTCCAAAAGTGTTCACATTTGGGCATATAGAGTATTTGTGCCAAGTTTGGTCCAGATCCATCATTTCTTGAGGTCACAGTGCTCTCTGGATGTAGGTGAACTACAACTCCCAAACTCAAGGCCAATGCCCACCAAACCCTTCCAGTATTTTCTGTTGGTCATGGGAGTTCTGTGTGCCAAGTTTGGTTCAATCTATCGTTGGTGGAGTTCAGAGTGCTCTTTGATTGTAGATTTACTATGAATCACAGCAACTACAACTCCCAAATGACAAAATCAATCCTCCCCCATTCCACCTGTGTGCAAATTTGGGTGCATTGGGTATTTGTGCCCACTTTGATCCAGTGAATGAAAATACATCCTGCAGATCAGATATTTCCATTATAACTTATAACAGTAACAAAATTAAAGTTATGAAGTAGCAACAAAAATAATGTTATGGTTGGGGGTCACCACAACATGAGGAACTGTATTAATGAATCGCAACATTAGGAAGGTTGAGAAATACTGCCTTATATCATCCTTGCCCAGATTGCGATTTTGTAGATAGATGGCTCCATAACAGACTTTGAAAATGAGGAAAAGTTGGGAGCAACTGTCAGAACCTCTGTTTATGAGAGCTAAGGCTCAATTATGCATCCAAATAAGTATAGATATTAAGTTATGTGTTTGGGAGAGAGTGTTATGTGTATAACCAGTGTTGTGTAAAAGCAAAAAAGAGCAGCTATCTGTTGCGATGGCTAACTCATACCCCATAAACTCTGGCTAGGACCAGCTGGAGACAGGGCTCCAAAGAAGGGGTTGAGTTCTGAATGTCTAATGAGGCATTCCTAAGCCACGCAAGAGGAGGAGGGAGCTGCTCTGGGGAATCCTAATGAGCTTCCACAATTGCAAGTCTGCATGGAGGAACAGCTGCCCAGGCTGCTTTTTCACGGGATCAAGCCTTACAAAACAGTCCATCCTGAGAAGAATAGAGCCGAAGTGAACATTTTCCATGTTGCAACTTTGCTCTAAGGACGCATTTGTGAAGGAATCCATTGAGAAGGAATTCTGGGTTCTTCAGCTTCTCTCTTCATCCTTATGCAAGGGAATAAGAATTCCTGTAGTAGAGGTGTACGTGT